TATTGTTAAAAAAGGTGACATGGTTGCTAGATTTTGAATAACTCGCTTTTTTGGCAGTCTTGATATGGCCTCTTTCCATAAGTTTATTACTGTTTGTTCTTGTTGCAAGATGTGCACCATCTTACGTTAGTGCTAACACTATTAGCATTGTAAATACCAGTATTGTTATCATTGTAAACACAAGTAATAAGTAATCAAATACATTGTTTGCAAGAATCTCAAAGCACAATGATGCCAAATGGCTTTAAAATACAACTGAAACAGTAGCCCGGAAATTTAGGCGGTATCGAGCTTGCAGCGTTCCCTAGTGTAGAAAACACCATCCATATGCAATAAGTGTTTCTCAACAAAAGCTAATTTTACTAATCATAGATTTATTGATTCTGATGATGGTCTCATCGTATATGTCCAAGTCTCATCGCATATGTCCAAGGAGATTTTCCTTTAACTTATCATATTCTGACTCGTACTGGTGTAAGTTATGAATTGTTGTAACGTGCAAGTTATGTAACTGGTGTAAGTTATGTAATTGCAGCACGTGTATGAATAGATTTTCACTGTGTATTAAAATGACTGAACACTGTCTTTTCTAGACAGTCATTCTTTTTTGTATTTATTCATAAGTATTGCCTTTAAAATAAACTTTCATATAGAAAAGTTAATAATTTAAATTTTTTTAAAAAAATAGCTTTACAAACACATTTTATTGGAACTTGTAACCTTGGCAGCTGGATAACATTACTTTACCACCAGTTATACTGGACAAAATCATTAATTGTTATTTATTCTCTTACCATTAGTGTCCTAAGTTGAAGGTAATATTCGATATTTTTTCCGAAAAATTTCAATTGCAGTTTTATATGAAAATAACATGCAGCATCATTTACTTAATGAATCCTTTCTAGCACACATTGTATAATTAAAAGTTTTTTATATTTTACGCTATTATTTTAATTTCTAATTATAGTCCATTCCACCTTAAGTTGGCACTGCAGGGAAGGGTAGGATATGTAATACTCCACCTTTGAAAAGTAGTTCTTCTCTATTTTGGAATTAATTGCAGTTTAAATGCGCGTTCAAATATAAATAAATGTTGTATAATAAGAAAAGTTTATCTTGAAACATACATTCGAAGTTTTTCATGTTTAAATGTATTTAACTTATAAATACCTGTTCAGTAAAGCGAATGTACAAGGAAGAAGGAGGTGTTTTAGTTGGCACTGGATTAGTTTTTAAGGCCAAGGAATTGGCGCGTAGGCTAAATTTTTACACTGGTCAGCCAGCTCGTTCCATCTTTTTTCGCTTTCTTTCACTCGCATCGCTTATTTGTTTTGTTTTTTATTAGTTATTAACTGTTAATTTGTTGTTTTTTACTAGTTATTTAATGTTAGCTCGTTATTTATAGTTATGAATTTTTTTTGCATTATATTTGTTTTTTTGTGATTCCTTGTTAAATTTTCTTTTTATGTTGCTAATTACTGAATGTTAATGTTTTTTTTTGTTGTTAGTTTGTATTATTTTGTTACTTATTAATCAATAGCTTTTTTTCTTTTGTAAGTTATTAATCCTCAGCTTGCTTTCCTTTTTTAATTATTCCTTTTTTTTTTTTGGTTTAAATCGGATTTTTTTGATTTTTTATTCAAATACACTGTAAGAACTTTGATTTATGACTAAAAAAAATTTATTATAATTTTTTAATCAAAATTAAATTAATATTAAAACTATATTATAAGAATATTTTAGAAACTCTTAACTACCTAAGACAATTTTTTATTGCAAAAAATAGCTCTGAATGCATAGTAACCATTTTAAAACAAATGCATGATTGAAATTTAAAGACTAGATGAAATAGAGAATTTAAAGAATACTCTAACTTTTAAAATAAAGTTTCAATTACCAAACCATAATTTTAATTAAAAATTGTGATTTCTTTTTTTTTTTCTTTTGATTTTTAAAATGACAAAATAAATGTATCAGTGTAGACATTATAAGTGTAGACATTCGTCAGAAAAAGTTTTTTAAAAAAATCTGTGTACTAATTTAAATTTTTTTTTCATGAATTTCGTTAGCTAAAATTAATTAATGCAGCAATTTATTTAAAATGAATTTTAAAACTTAGAAAAGAAATAATAAAAGTATCAATAATGTAAAACACTGCTTTTTTTAATTTTTTAAATCGATATATATGTAAAAAAATCCGTTGATTTAAATCAATGATTTTTTTTAAAAAAATGATTTGATTTAAATCAACAAACCCTGTTCATAAATGAAAAAAAAATAAAAAATTTAAACCAGTATAGTAAAATTGTATTTGATTATTTAATTTTCTAAATATTAACCTCATATGTACAATATTTAATGAAAAAATTTTCCCTTTCATAATGAATGGGAAAAAAACCAATATAGAATACTATTAAACTGATAACAGTTGAGCATATTTGCTGTGTAGCTAATTTAACATGTGATTTTATTATTTTTTTTTAGGACAAAAGTAAAAATTGTTTTGCAGAAGGAACTGGCAACCGTTAAAATATTAAATGAGTAACATGATAACCACCAGGACAGGCCATTGAGCTCCTGTTGAGTCTAAGAGGGCGGGATATGGCAGCTGANTGTTGAGTCTGAGAGGGTGGGATATGGCAGC